AATAGCTAAATAGAAAGGAAATCTTATCGTCATTTCACTAGCCTTGGCGTACGAATCTAACAGATAGACGTATGACTGCGCAAAACACACAGCACGCACGCGAATTGAGCGTACTGGAGCCGTGACGGTGATGAACTCTTGATTCTTCTCATTCCCGAGCCGTGATGCGTGCCTTTTCAAAGACAATAAAAATATGCTATACTGATAAAGTGACGTGTGTTTATAGTTATGTGTACCATTAATAAACTATTCGTAAAATGTCTGTTTCAACCATCAGCCTCCGTGATACAGGTGCCAATCAGAAAAATATTGGTTGCTTGAATAAAGAAACTTGCCGAAAAGTTATGAAGTTAGCACAAAATGTGTTGACAGGGACGAGTAGTTCGGGCAAAGACTACCATTTCGTCATAGTTTGCAAACATTATTGTCTTTTTTGTCTTTCTCTTCTTGTTGCGATTCTGTTGTAGACGAACCTTCAAAATGAAAGGTCACATTCCCTCAGAGAGCGAGAACAGCCACACAACAGACAGCCTTTATTACAGCCTCTACCAGTGTGTCGCTTTCCTCCTCYCCATAGCGACACCAGCGCGCAAAATGCTCGCAGTTCTTCCAGAGTATATTATATCCTTCTTGGTCAACTTTAGACAAAGCTCTTTCGACAATTTCATCACTTGAAAAAGACGTCGGGAGGCTTTCAAATTCTGCTACATCTCCTGGTTTGCAAAAGTCTTTGAACTTTTCTTTCTTAATTATTGTCATTTTAAAATTTGCASAGCATAATAATKGTGAACCATCGACGATGTCGSCGCTACGTGGGSTATYGACGATARAAGCAAGATGTACKATCTCATCATTGCCGACATTTACAGCATAATGGTCATATAAAGATCTTTTGAAGATGATCAAATCACCCTTAGATCCAGGACACTCCATATAGGGAAAGAGTTCAAGTAGTTAGGCAATGTGGAAGCAGCCACTCCGACATGAACACATTCTCGGAATAGTTAAAGACGTATATTACGCTAATCGCTTGAGTGAGAAAGCCACTGGTTTGAAGCACAATATTTTGACATTAAMACCCTAATGTTATCAAGGAAAACGGCATAAATGTGTGACCCAAGTCGTTTGAAATACTTTTGCAGATGGAGATACTTTCTAACAAAGTCACAAATCCCAGTTGCAGTTGCTCTTGACAACATAAAGGTTTCATAAGGGTTACATAAGGGTTTTACATAAGGGTTTCGCAGTCACAATATATGGCTTTTTTACTCAAGCGTAAAACGTATTCAGCGGTTCACGCTGTTTCAACACAGTATGTTTTTATATTATAAAGTACAGTTACCTAACGTTTTACCCAGAACCAAAACAACATCACAGAGAAAAAGTAGTGAATGGAAAAAGAAGAAGTGCTTTAACACCATTTGGTTTAAAAACGCCTTTAGCACAAGTGACTTTTGAATTGTAATTAATGTCTTTTAGTTACCTTCCTCATGGCCGATTCTCTGTCCAGCAAATGTCGTTGTCGAAGGTTTTCCTTATTTAGGGAATTAAGCTAAAAGAAAAAGAAAAGGTCATTAAATACTGATAAAGTTCTAAGTCATTTTCAAGACGATCAATTTCGCGAAATGGCGCGCTATCGTCCTATTTTTTGCAGCCCAAATGTTGAAAAAAGTACTTTAAAAACCGTCAAATAGTAGGAGCCACTAGAAGTGCACACGAACTCTTACGAACACCCCGTTATAGACACTTGCTACAAGGAAATTACTGCAAAGAACCTTCTCTACAACGGACACTCCCTATTACTGACACAGTTGTCCGTTATAACAAGAGTTGACTGTATTGAGTTACTTCAAATCCACTTAGACCGAATGGGATATTGAAACCTCGTTAGCGGGACACCGAAAGGACATCGAAAACTGACCGTATAAATGGGGTAGTCGATTCAACCGGGAAAAAAGTATGAGATTTTAATACGCTGGAACATAAAAATCTGGCCTTTAAGTTATTGGAGTGGCCGCATTAAGCGGATGGCCGTTAGGTGGTGTTCCACTGTACTGTAAGCAGAGACCTTCGTCGTTCTTGAGGTCGTGTAAGTGTAGCGGGTAATCTTACCTGTTGGTTAAGTTGTTGAATTGTYTCCACGTTAGTCTTAAGTCGGTTATGTAGATCTTCTATTGTCTGTGCTCTGTTGATTGCTTCAGCATCGTGCTCGTTTCTAAAGAGAACGTTTTGAAGAAGTCACTTAAAGTTGCCTTGGAGTGTTTAAAAGAGATATGGGAGCAAAGGACAGCCTGCATGGTTTTTGAACTTAAAACACTGGGATTTATAACAAGAATTGATTTAATAATGAGTACATGGGATTCAAATTTACTATCGAACCTCTATTAAGCRGTCACCTTGGTGAAAGTCCAGATGGCCGCTTAATAGGGGTCAATCGATTAATGGAGGGCACGTTTTCAGTCAACATATATGAGAATCTACCGTTGGAGAATTCATGTGTGACCGCTTTATGGAGGGTGACCGCTAAATAGGAGGCCGCTCAATAGAGGTTTAACTGTAGCTATTTTTGACATCTTTTATTCTAGAGATTTGTTGAAATTTGAGCTTGGAAAGTCAGTCCTTCATGATATATTATACGTACTCGTAGTTTGAAAGACGGTTGCGAAGCTGATGAAGAAGAACTTGTTGCTGTGCTGAATGAGATTGTAAACTCTGAAGAAAAAACAAAAACAGAAATGAGTGATTAACCTACAGGTATACATTCTGTACAYRCATATATCGATGGAGAATATTACCGGGTCGCACGGAGATACGGAGTTTATCTTCGAGTGTTGAAAAGATCTCTAACGAGTGATCGCAGCAAAAAAGTAATTCCATATCTCCGCACGYCCTTGTTATATCCTCTATATCTCCGCGCGCCCATGTAATATCCTCTATATCTGTGCGAGCCCATGGAATACTTCTTCTATTTCTAAGACAAACATATTCAAATATTTAAGTGGAAAGTGCATCCTGCATATACTGCCATGTTTTAGGATGTTTTTTTCTTGATAAACACGCAAATTACGTTCAGCGTAAGAAGGYGTATAACGTAAGYACGAACGTAAACGGATATCCACGTACGTGTGAGAAAGAAGGGCATAATCCCTGGCAGTTCAGACAAGCAGTACTAAGTTGGTGCTCAAAGCGAATATAACAAGGACAGTCGTGAAGCGGGTTAGAACATCCTCCGCGGAGTTTACCAAGACCGTCAAGATTAGTTAAAGCGCCTTTCAAGGGTTCATCGATACAGAGAAGCACTGAACTATCACCGCTGTGATCCGAAGCCATGGCTTAATGGCATAAATTTCGTAATTTTGACTACAAACTTTCATAAAATGATGCGAAGCAAGTAAGTTTAAGAACAGTTGATACAAAAACCACAGAAAAAATCACAAAACTTTGTTGTTATTAATAATAAAATAGTTTTTTGTGTGTGTAAGCACAACAGGTGCAGCCAAAGAACAGCGAATAGAAGAAGTCTGAAAATTGTTAAATATTCTTTAAAAACTGCAACAAAATTCGAACTTAAAATTATATAATAGAGGAACCGTTTTAAGAAGGACTTTTTAAAAAAAAAGAGTGTACATAATATAAAAAAATCTACATCGATAAATAATTTATGAGAATAAATTCTTAATTTTGAGTAGTATAACWTGCTTAATTGGTACTGCATTTTTTATTGAAATGGAGTTGTTTTTATACTTAAATTAACAGCGTAATAACTGAAAATTGTCAATGAATCGTTTTTGTAGGATGTGAGCATTTCAACAAAAAACTTAGCAGATTAACAAAATCTCAGTTGCTTTTACCTTGTCGACACCAAGTTGTATTTAAAAAAAAATTTTTATCGAATAACTTTTTTTAAAGAAATGTCTGAAATATCAAAGCATTTCTTGTCAATCAAACTGACGCAATATTAACGAGCGAGTCTGAGGTATCTATGCGAAATCTAAACGCATATGTTATTTGAAAATGGATAGTTTGATATACGTAATATGCGTAATATTTGTTATTTCATTTTCTTACCTTCAATCTTTCGCTTTCCATTCGTCTCTCTTCTGAAAATTAAATGAAAATCATAACGAATTAATAACCATGATAACGAATTTGATCTTGAATTGTATTCTAGGTAACGATAAGAAAAATTCAGCGACGCCATTTTCTCGGGCAAAGCATGACTGGAAACTTGGTCCTCGCGCTCTTTTATGCCAGATAAAATACTTCAAAAATGTTTTTTTATTTTTGCAAAGATGTAAGTACTAGGTTTTGTTGTTTTAAGGCAACACGAGCCAGTGTAAGGTCTACAAAACCATGATGTACAAAATGGCGTCGCTACACATTGCCTATTGTAAATTCGAAGATAAAGTTCGTATTTCAACGTAAAAGTGCTCGTAATATCCTCTAAACATTATCAATATTATCGTTCTTGCAATCACCATCTGTTATGCTATCAACTATGATTAGAGTCATTGTCATTTGTAGTACTTCTATCGTTATCATTATCATCGYCATCATCAGTACAATCATTATTATCATAGATCATTTCATCACTATCATGTAAAAATTGGTAATCGCATCATAAACCAACCTATTTCACTTTTAAGTGTTGAGTTTTCTTTCTGAAGTGCATTGTTTGCTTCGCCCAAATGCCTGAAAAACGCACACATACAAAAACAGAAAATTAGCGGTACGTAAAACGTTGGAAATTATGATTATTTACAATCGCTGTGACACCCGTGTAATGATCAATTTTTTCTCGATTTTTGTTCAACTTTTTGTTTGCACTGGGAGTTTTTAAGCATCAGTATACTCACTCTTTGTCCGACTGTAGCGAAGAAATTTGCATACTCTGTTCCCTAAAAAAATGAACAGAAGGACGTTTGAGATATCATTTTCAACAGCAGTTTCGTGAAATATAAAAAGTACTATATAATTTTGAAAAAGCAAACAAACAAACATACGAATAAATAAACAAAAATAWAGGATGTAACAGAGAAAGACCACAGGAAAACGTCCGTGATATAGAGGTGTCTGTAACGTGAAATAAATACGGCACACACACGGCAAGATGTCGTAATCATTACGTCTTCTGCCACAAGTTTACCTTAGTTTAGAAGCTAACTTTTCGTTGCCATGCCTGCAAGACACAAAATGATTTTTATGAACAAAACTGCTTTTTTTGCGCATTTAGGAAAGCTCAACCAACGTTATTGGTTTGAATTTAAACTTAACAAGATGCTAGAGTTCCAGTTAGAGTAATTCAGTTAAAATCGAGTTGTTCTTATACAGTTAGAGCAATTCAGTTACAATCGAGTTGTTCTTACTTCTGTTCTTGTACCCAACTGTTGACATTTTCAACCACCATTTCACTTTCACGATGAAGTCGATCTCCATTGGTGCGCGCTTCCTCGAGCGACATTCGCAATGTTTGGATCTGCAAACGAGATATAAGACTTTTTTAGTAAAAAAATCAAGTCGAAAAGCTATCCATAAAGTTCATAYAAAACCACAACTTAYTAACAGCGAGGCATTGATAGTTGAAGTACGGTCTCAGTTTTTCAGGCCTTACCTCTTCTAAACAGGCTTGATGTTGCTTTCTTGTTTGAGCAAAATCCTGTTTGATCTTATCGCTCTAAAACAAAAAGATTTGACAGTTAAATACGAAGAAATAATATAAGAAAACAAAGGCAAAACCATAGCATTATTAATGATATTTTGGGAGAAGTAATTGAGTGTTTGTAAGACCTGTTACACCAATAAATGGACTATTCGGCTGACAGATAAGCAACATGACAACACACTGATCAATCGATCACAACAAACCCWCCAAATAGCACATCAACCAGCCAACATACCAACCAACCAACCAACACCAACAAACCCACTAAACAACCAACCAATAGATCATTCATAATAAAAACTTTAACACCCAACCGAGAACTTTATAAATTTATACCTCTTCCATAATTAATCTATGCTTTTCTTGTAGCGTAGCAAGATCGACTTTAAGTACGACGACCTGTTCATCCCGTGAAGTTATCTCGTGGTCCTGTCGCTGGATCTTTTGATGTGCTGTATTCAGTTGGTTTTTAAGGTCCTCAGCATTGCGAGCATAATGTTGGACCTACAAACAAATAAAGTTATTGCTGTCAGCTCTCTGAAAACGATCTGAAATACMGTAAATAGAATAGYTTTTGCTGGCGTTTKCTTCAGCAGAATTCTTCATCAAAAAATCCATCCCTTTGAACAAGAACAACAAAAACAGCAACAACACAGCATCAACATCAAAAATAATAACAGCAACAACAGCAGCAACAACAACAACAACAGCTGCAGCAAAACCCACAACAACAACAACAACAACAAAAGCAACAACAAAAGCAACAAAAACAACAACAGCAGCAGCGGCAGCGGCAACAACAACAATAACAAAACAACGATAATAACAGCAACAACAGCAACAACATCAACAACAACAGCAACGACAAACACAAAAACAACCTTGCCGCTACACCTGTATTGAAAGTTTTTACAAAACATGTGCATGAAAGATCGTCAGTCACTTAGAAATAGCAGAGCTCGAGGTAAATGGTTGAATCAAACGAGAAATAATCACAAGAAAAAATAAAAATAAGAAAGATAGAAAAATACATGGGATTCAGCAAGGCAACCACAAAACAATTCAAAGGGGTAAACACAGAGAGAAAAAACGCCAGATAAAAGATACATATACGATACAAACAATGAAAAATGCTTTGAATAGAATACCTCTCCATCGCTTTGCTTGTTCCTRTCTTGGTATCTTTTCAGGTCATTTTTAACTTTTCGTAGTTTTTCCTCTAATGCACTGATCTAAGACATATTAAACACAATATTGGCGATCATACTCCAGTAATTCCCATTCGAGAAAAATAAAGATCCTTCGTGTACTAAGTGTGCAATGGTTTACGGTATCTACCTGCTCTTCCAATGCTTGATTACGTTGTCTTGTTGCAGCCAGATCTGTCTTGGAATTAGCCAGCTGTTTTGAGCGTTGAGTTAGCTGTAAGTTAGAGAAAATTGATTAAAAACAGTGACCTCTTTACGGAAAAATTCGTTAACGAAGACCGCGATCTTGACAAAATTCTGGACGACTTTTTGATAACTTAACGACAGTAAATTTACACTGAATTGTCAATATCTAACCAAACTAGTGTTTGGAGTACTTATCATTYATTCCTGGGCTTCTTAACTAAGTTAAAAACTGCGGCAAACAACGAGGAATGGCGCTTGCCATGTACGACATGTGTTCACGCGCATCCGGGAACATTCAAAATCAAAGATGGCAGTTTTTGCCATGCGAGAAAATTGCGCAAATTTTCTGAAAAACATACGTGTCTTTAAAAAATTATTCTTGAAAAACGCAAGACAGAACGCAAGTTAAAGACACACAAAAGACACTGAAGAGTGTTGGGGTAACGGGAACAAAGAAATAGATAGAAAACGCACAATAGTTTTGATACGACTTTACCTGTTCCATAGCTTCTTTATGGTTCCCATGCGCGCTTGATAGTTGTACTTTCAAGTTCTGAAGGTTCTTTTCAAGTGAAGAAATCTGGAAATTAAAAGKTAAGTTTAACTTAATTATAAAGCAAAACAAGACACAAAATTCCGTGCACTCTGAAATCGTCCTATCCGCTAGTGACACGAAAAACGAACACTGACTCACCTGAGCCGTTGATGTCTTGTGCGTTTCCTGAGTTCTTTCGAGATCTGTTTGAAGCTGTTGAAGTGTTTCCTCATATCGCCGAACCTACAGAAAAACGAATGATTTTTAACTTTCTTTAAGGTAAAAAAGTTGTGTAAAAAGATGAATTTCAACACCGTAATTAAGTGGCTGAAAGTTAGTTGTTTCACCTACGTTTTTACGGTGTAAATTAATTAAATCTATCTTTTCACATAATTGTTTCTTTAGAAACACCGATGCAGCTCACACGAGTTTACCGTTAGTTTCTACCATTTTAAGGTAATATAAACTCTATTTTAGAAGATCATGCCTCGCTAGTACTGCCAACAACCTATTCTCACATAATTTAGAATGTATGATCTGAAGACAAAAACTACCTACCAACTTTATTTTTTTCAATTTTTACCTACCAACTTTTTTTCAATTTCAGGTGAAACTCGAAAGTAATTTCATTAAAACTATATCTTCCTGTCTACATACACTGTCTCCCTGGTAACTGCATAGCTCCATGCTGATTGGCTGGTCTCTAACTGGCCACTCGTCATTAAAGAGTACCTCGTTTGTGTGGTTTTTGATTTTTTTCTGTGCTGAGCTCAAATCGGTTCTCAACAGTTTGATATCTGAATCTCGCGCAGCGATCTATTGAAGTAAAGGAAACATGTTTAGAAACATGTTTAGAAACATGTTTAGACAAATCACTATTGAGCACCATCAAAAATAAAACCGACCAATCATGTCGGAGAAATGAAACACGTGACTACATGTCTTACCTCAGTTGAAATATTCTTGTTTTTCTCGAGGACCCCGCCCAACTCCTCGCGTAGCTGACCTATTGCCTTTTCTTTATCGCGAGCCTGGTGATAAACACAATGACATCAATCAATCAATTAATCAATTAATCAGTCAATCAATCAATTAATTAATCAACTAACCAACCAACTAAACGATGAATCTATCAATCACTCAATCAGCCAGCCAATCAATCTTCAATCAGTCATTCAATCAATCGATCGATCAATCATTCAATGAATCAATCAATACAATACAATACAATACAATGAACTTTATTTTAAGAGGGTAACACTTGACAGTATTAAAAAAACACTGATGAACTCGTGGCCCTCTAAATTAATCAATCATTCATTCAACCAACCAATCAATCAATCAATCATTCAATCAATCAATCAACCAATCAAATCAATCAATCAATCAATCAATCAATCAATCAATCAATCAATCAATCAATAAATCAATCAATCATTCAATCATTCAATATCTATCAGTTCTAAAGCATGGCAATATTTCAAACTCCTAATCACCCAGTCATCTAAGACTGTCCATTACATACATGCTCTTTAAGCTCCTGACTTTGATGAATAAACTGAGTGATCTTAGATTCCTGCTCTTCGATAACATTTTGGCATTGACGAATCTGAAAAAAACACGTGGTTACAAACAGCCCTACAAATAGAGTTACTTTTCAATTGCCAAACATCGTATTTTACACAGTACGAAAGCTGTTATAATTTTCATATGTAGCGTTAGTTTTTGCGTTCTTCCGTGATTCATAAATATCAATTTCAGTGAATTAAGTTTAATACTCAAGAGTAAGACGAGAACACGTTAAGTAACGTACGTGCCGCTGCGCTTCGGTAAGTTGTTGCTTGAACTGCGCAATTTGACTGTCTTTGTCTTGCCCGACGCGTGATATGTTGGTAAACTATAACAGAAAAGTATATAGAAAGTTAAGAAATGTTATAAACGCAAAATGAATGAAAGACGTGAAGGAGAAGAGAATGAGAAGGAGGAAAAAAGGGAGGTAGAGGGAAAGTGGGATGAGGGAAGACTGATATGGGGAGGGAAAAACACGGGGAGAAGAGGAGTAAGGAGGTAAAGAAGATAGAAAGAAAACTTGACAGGAACAACATGTTTTTTTTTCTATACCTCCTCTCTAATAACTTGAAGTTCCTTCTGGGTAACCTCTAATTCTAGTTCCAGGTTTCTTGCGCGCTCTTCGTATGCATCAGCCTGTTGATTTTAGAGAGAAATAGTTTGAAATATAACAACGTCATAAAAAAAACATGGTGCCGTAGATGCAAGGACAGCCATAGATTGTAGGTGAAACTATACCTCTTCAACAGTGGCTTGGTGTCTTTGTTGAGAGACCTTCAGATCGGCTCTAAACTGCTCCAAGTASCCCTCCAGTTCAGATATCTAAAGAACGTTATTTAACAGTTATTCCACGAAATCGAGTCGTACATGAGCTCATAGTCAATGAGGCTATGGTTTCGAGTGAGACTTGGATGCTTTTTCTCCACTCATGGTATGTGAGCTGATAGACTAGTAGTAGAGAAACCAATCAAAGCGCGCGATGGCTCATATCAAGAAATTGTCTATATAATATTAGAGTTTATTCTTGCATCTTCGTGTGAGCTGGTAAGGATAATATTGAGTTCCGAAACAAACCTGTTTGTCCTGTTTGTCTTGCAAATTACTCGTYTTTTTAAGCTCCGTTTGGTACTTCTTGTTGGATTTCTCAAGACGTACAATCTGTAGAGGACGGCATGATATATGTCAATTGATGTACCAAACAGAGACCAGTTGTACGAAGGATGAACAGCCATATCCACCGGATAAAATCCTTATCTAGCTGTTAAAATCCTTACAAAATCTAAGGAGTGGATAGCTTTAACCGGTGAATAACTTTGTCTATCYTTCGTACAACCAGATGGACAGATAAATGAATAAATGATAAGCAAATGCATGGATGAATGAATGATGGAGAAAGGGAGAAAGGGTTGAAACTACGAGAGGATAGATGGATTGACAAATGAATGGATAAAAAGATAGACAGATGGATAAGCCATTACATGCATTAATAAATGAACAAATACAAGACTGGATGGATGGATGTATAAAATACTGAATGAAAAATGGAGCAATGAATAAATGAATGAATACATTGACGAAATAAATAAACGTACGCAAAAGGAATTGATTAATGAATGAATGAATGAATGAACAGGCAAGAGAATTAAAGGTCTAAAGAAAGATCAGATGACAAAAATTAATCAGTTAGATATGAAGGAAACGATGACGGAATCAGGCAACAAAACCCAAGATCATAATTGATGAAATTAGGAGTGAATCTGTAAGACATATTACCTCCGCTACGCGCACGCTAAGTTGTTCTTGTGTAGATGTCAAATTTTGCTCAATGAGAGTGAGTTTCTCTTCACAGTGAGCAAGCTAAGAAAGAAAGAAATAACATCAGACCCTAAATAGATATACAATGATTACATTTTCTGCACTAAAACCCATATGTTTATCGTTGCTTTGAACAAACAGATTTCTTAAAAACAAAATACAAATTAATCTTTTTTTTATGATGTTGTATATGGGATTAGACTATGGGGGGTGGGGTAAGTCATACCTCTTGAGTTGCTTCTTTGTGTTTTTCTCTGGAGTTATTCAGATCAGCCTCTAATTGCGCTACTCGTTCTTTAGATTTTGTACACTATCAAAGTACACACACGGTATGATATTAATAGAGTATTGTTAGCACTATTTGATGATTTACAAATGGAGGCGCTTATCCATGTGGGATAATTTCTGAGCATGCGCAATAGGTAAACTAAGTAACTGCGCTAGTCGTTCTTTAGATTTTACACACTATAAAAATGCACACATGGTATGATATCAATGGACTATTTTTAGCACTATTTGATGATTTACGAATAGATGCGCTAATCCATGTGGGATAGTTTCTGATATCTTATAAAAGCATGCGCAATATGTTAACTAAGAAAGTGCGCTACTCGTTCTTTAAATTTTGCGCCTATGAAAAATACACATACAGAATGATATCAAGACTATTGTTAGCACTATTTGAAGATTCACGGGTAGAGGCGTTAATCCATGTGGGAGAGGGTTCTGAAATTCTATTGAGCATGCGCAATAGGTAAACGAAGAGCCCTTATATGAAACGATAAGAGGTTAGCGGTCTCCTATATATATATATATATATATATATATAAATAGAATAAATGAAGAAAAAGCCACGCAACTTGTAACTAGTCAATATTAAGTCTATTTAAGTATCTACCTCAGCATTTAGCTGCTTGTGATCGACCTTCAAGGAAGCGAGTTGCTCACTTAAATCTTCAATAGTGTGTTCGGCATTGTACATCTAAAATAGAGAGTAATAAGATTAAAATAATAATAGGATATCGTGAAAATCTTCATAGCTACACTACTGGGACGCTATTTTTAAGGGTGAATAGCACTAACTACTGGATAAAACGGTAATACAATCTTTAAGCAGCGGATGACGTACACCCATTTCTTTAAACGGATTTTCTCGGAATGAGGCATGGAAATACTCAATATATCACCAATTAATCAAACAAAATTTTAAAGACCCGTTTACACTTGCAATTCTTGCAGCGCGATTGTCGCGCGACAATCGCCTTAGTTTCGAACATGCTTCAAATTTAGCTGCAAAAATCGCCGCGACAATCGAAGGGCTGTTTACACGTACGATTTGATCTGCAAGAGAACAAAGTGGCGATTGTCGCGCGACAATCGCGCTGCAAAAATTGCAAGTGTAAACGGGCCTTAAGAAGGTTACCTCTTCAGTTTTCGCTCTCAACTCGTTATCTCTGTTTGTCAACGCTTTTTGAGTCGAGGCAAATTTGTTGTTCAACTGAAGGAGCTGTAGGATAAAACAAGAATTAGAACACGAGAGGTTATGGGAAAGAAATGAAAATGGAGAAAAGGAAATGGAAGTGAAATAAATGGAGAAAAGTGGAAAAAAGAACATTGTTTATTCTTACTTCTTGAGAGAGTGATTTGTTTGTGTTCTGTACGTTGCTGATCTCTCGCTCAAAGCCAGCAATGGTTTCTTCGTTTCTTGCAAGCTACGCGAGATAACAATGGTTAACACTGCTACTGACATGCGCAAGTGACGCATGGATTCGTAGATGGATGGATGGATGGTAGGATAAATGAATAAAGAAATAATTAGATGGATGAACTTAAAGGCCCAGTTCGCACCACTATGCTTTGCGCGCTTCTGTTATTGTATTGTTTAGTATCCAAATATCACCATAAAACAAATTTCAGATGGATTAAAACTTTTATATTATCGTTTAAAGTGCTTAGAAAAGTGAGATGGTCAAAGATTCTAAACACTAAGTGCAATTTATAGACTTTCGGCAAACTGAAAATGGCCGCCTCCCGGCCCCCAAAGCATCATGGTGCACACTGGGTCTTTAAATTTCATGATTTACAAATAGAGTCGTTAATTCACGTGGGATAGTTTAATAGGTAAATAGGTAAACTAAATAACTGCGCTACTCGTTCTTTAAATTTCGCACATGGAAACTTCGATCGATATCAGCTCCAATGGATTTACCTCGTTTCGATGTTTCTGTTTGGCAGATGACATATCTTTTTGTAGCTGTTGATACGCTTGCTCACCCCTTGATATCTAAACAGTAAACAAGTGTTTGATTATGTTCAGATCACTCCGGCTTGATTAAATAATTTGGTTGATAGTTTTGATTAACTGGTTGATTGATCACTGATTTACAGACTGTTTTTTGACTGATTTGAAAATTGGTAACCTGCGTACATAGACGTTGGATGAAACACAGGCTGAAAATCGGCTGATCGGTTGATTGTTTCAATTACTTGGTTGGTAGGTTGATGAATATATGATTGACGGACGGATTCATTCATTGAGAATTGGTTGATTTACAGATTGGAAGGGTGATTGACGGGTAGGTTCATTGATTGATTGATTGATTATTTCGGATGTCATGGAAAAGGAAAGTTTGTCATATTCGACTAAATGATGAGAAGATTCAGAAGTGATGCCTATGATTGCAGCTGATTATGATAATGATGAATATTTATTGTGATGACGATGCTAATGATAACCACGCAATACATGACGAC